GGAATAAATAACGCATTTTTATTCTTAGATTCTTGAGTGGATCAGAGAAGTCATCCCTCCGACGCAATCCACAGCTTCGGCCAATCCGTTCAGTGCTCGATTGAGACGTTCATTTTACGCAGTGAAACCCGGTAGGTCTCCGGTTCGAATCTCAGCTATGGCATTTTTTCCAGCATTTTTTTACATGCTCATGGGGAATTCATCATTGCGAGAGTTTCCTAGTGGGAATTTACTATTGGTGAATGGTCTTCCATTTGTCTACTTTTGCCGAACTTAGTTTGCAAAATTCTCAGTGGTGTGGAGCGTGTTTTCGGGATTTTCCCGAGGTCTGTGGAAGGCTTCGGAAAAATTTGCTGCCGTTTTGATGCATAGGGCTTGAACGAAAACGTTTTAAGTGGTATAAATAATATCGCAGTTTTCGGCTGTTGTGTGGAACGATTTATGGTTGCTCGAATGATAGTCGTTGTTGAGAAAATGGATTTTTTTGGAGTATGTGAGGGAACGTATACCCTCCTTTTTTGGTGACACGAGTGGTGACACAGGAAAAGTAGTCCGAATGGAAAAGCAACTGAGAGCTGAAACACTCTGCATTTGGAACCCGTCAGAAAAAGATGTGAATATCTGTGAACTTTGGTGATACAGAAACGCGCCCGAAAAATATATATCGAAGTTATTTCGAGTTCATTTTTTATGCGGAGCACTTACTAGAATTCCACAATTGAGCCTGAGCTTAGCACAAGTCGTGGATAAGTTGGACCTAATCTGTATCTTATATGAGTGAACCTCAGGATATCTTTGATCAGATAGCGGCTGGTTGGACGAGCTTGGCACTTCAGCGAATTCTTTGTTGAAGTCGGTCGGTCGGGATTATTTCCTGGACGCAAATCAGCTGGAGAAAACCCTTCATGAGAATAGCGTGAGTTGAGCCGAAATAATTTCGTGGCGCGTGACGTTTTTCTCTCCTCGTTTAGTCCACAAGTTTGTCGGCGTTCATGTTGATCGGTTTCAGCACGATGAATCGCCTAATGGGACCTGGTCTCCACGCGCCAAGTAAGTGCTGGAGTACCTCACACATAATCGTTCCGATTTGGGAATATTTTACATAATCGTCCAGTTATCGGTCGTATTCGATTAAATTACTGTTTGGAATTTCGTGGCCTGTGATGGCATTGGACTGTCGGAATATCTTAGAATATATCGATGTGCCGAATTTCGTGGCGCGTGACGGTTTTTTTTGTTTTGTCTCAGTGGGAGAAGCTCCATCAGCATCATCAGTGCCGCCATCTGGCGTTATTTGTTTGCAGAAGTTCTTGACTTTATTCGACCAGCTATATCTACCAAATCCATTTCACAA